TCGAATTTTCAAGAAATTCGTGAACAAACATGTGCGAAATTAATCAAAATTCGATTGAGTTTGGAAAAAACTTACATAGATCAGCAAACTAGATGAACAAAGCTTTGATTTGCAACAAATTTGAGCGAATTTGGTTGAGAAAGATCGTCTAGTTTGAGGGAGATCGTCAAAACAGCAGGATGATATGGCGTTCCCTAGCTTGTGGAAGGTTGTCACAACAGCAAATGCAACACAAATCGGTTACCTTCAGAGACGTGTGCTGGACGGTGCAAGATACACGTTTCTTAACTCTCTTACCTGTTTTAACTAATGCTAGTTTGCAGGTATCGGCATTACAAGAATGATTTAGGATCGCAGAACGTTCTGGATCATTCTCCGTTCCTATCGCTACTTTGACTTTTGTTTTCGAAACTTGCGTTTCTCCAAACTCAGTAAAAGTGGGGCCTTCTGTAGACATCCATTTGTGTCTCCCCAAAACCAAACCCAGTGATGAGTACCTTTCACGTCGAATCATGATCAAATGAAGTGAAAGTGTGGAAAGTCTAGTGTTGCGGTTAGTTTTTAATTCTTTTCTTACTCTCTGTTTTTGAAAACCTATTTTATGAAAATAGTCAATCCAGTTTATTTTAGTCCATGGAAAGGTTCCAATAATAATGTAGTTGGATCAGGTTTGAAAAGAGTTTTCCAACGATATATTATAAGCCCAATTCCGATGAATAATGAGGAAGTTATAGCAAAATTACTAAACTGGGCCCGGTTTGATTTTTATATGCGACCCAATGATCTAGGGGAGGGCCTATTATGATTTATCATTTCTAATACAATTAGGATGATTATAGTCTTCTAGAATCTTCTAGAAGGTTCTTTTGAATCCTAATTCGATTAGCATTGATAATTGAGTTTTAAGAGTTTTATTTAGAATAAAAGAAGTGTTTTTAAGGAAATTACAGTTTTTCCCTTCGTACGCTTAAATTTTTATCAAAATATGAAAACGCGTGGAAAAACTGATTGCAGCGCCGCACTACAGTTTGTCGCCTGGCGACAGGCCTGGCGTCGCAGCGACACGTCTGTCACCTGGCAATAAGCCCTGTCGCGCGGCGACAGGGGCAGTTGCGGCGACAGTGTCGTGTTTTATTCTTTTCGAAACTCTGATTTCTTTTTTATCATATCCGACTGATTTTCTTTATAAATAGCGTTCTTAAACCTTCGTTTTCAATTACCAACTCTCATCAAGAAATCTTGATACTCTCTCTCCCTCTTTTCTAAACCAGCTTTCACTTACAAAATTCCGCATTCACAAGATCTAGACACACCTAGCCAAGTTCGAAGTTGCTTTCGCCCTAGACGTGAAAGTTTTTATATTCTGAGGGTTTGGTCCCAGATCTAGTCTAAACTATCTTAATTCATTATTTCAAGTATTTAATTTAATTCTGTGGTTTTATATTTTTCTTTAAGTTACTAACGTGTATATTTTGTTATTAGAAAGAGATACGAGGCAACCAAGTATGTGCTTTAATTGTTTCAATTGATATTATGATATAGAAATCATGTCTAGGTTGTTATTTTGATTCCTAATATCATGTTAGGATGCTTTTCTTAGTATGATGTTTAGGGTGACAACAATAAGTTCTTAGTATCATGTTTAGGGTAAAGAATATAATGTCAATTATGATTTCTATGATGCCTTTTATTTTCTTTCCTAAATATTCATATTAGTATCATGTTAGGGCTAAATATTTGATCTTTGATGTTTAGTGACATTCTAGGGTTTGTTATTAATTTTGTTAGTACCATGCCTAGGATCTTGCTATTATTATGCTTTAGCGTTGATATGATTATTTTAATTATGATTATAATGGTTATAATTTTTGATGATTAATTTTCATTATTATTATCATTATTATTATGTTGCTTGATTATATTTATTGTTATTGTTTGATCACGTCTTTTATGCATGTTTAAAGGGAATTTGTACTTGTAATCACGCTTAATAATATAATTAATGATCTTGTTTAGGGTTAACTTGATTATAATTCAAGTGATCGTCAATAATAGATTTATTTGTGCATTAATATTCAACCAACATAGGTAAACAAGTTTAAGGTAATCCTATTGATTGCATGTTAGTCAGAAAGCGCACATGAATATGAGAAGAATAAAATAGAGGCCTATTATTAAGGCGGGTTCAATATCTTTTAGGTTGGATTTGTACCTTCATCCCCGAACTTCCAGTCTTGGTTCCAGACCTATTGGAGTTAACGATCTCTTGGATCGTTAAGGGGTGTAACCTTCACCCTGTGAACGGTTTACAAATTCATAAAAATTGTTGACGACTCTTTTGCTCTAACTTCTTTCCCTTTGGACGCCACCATGCTTAAGTGTATGATCACAGTGGGGTTCAAGTTTGGGGTTTTGCTTGAAATATTCCCTACAGCGACCGTTATATAACCCAAAAATCGATCTCAAATATCATATTTTGCGACCGTTTTCATGACAGTCGTAGAAAAACGGTCGCAAAACGGCCGAATTTTAGTAGTGGTTTTTTGGATCAAACAAGGGATAAAAAAAATGTTAGTTTCTCTACAAGTATTTTATCTAATATTGAAGTATATGCATACATAAAGCAAACCACAATAGTAAATATTTCCTTCATTTTTATTTACTTGACCTATAACCCTTTGGCACGCAATTTAAGGTAGAGATTAAAGAAGATTAACATAAAATAAATAAAAAAAATTAATACCATGAAACTCCAATTCATCCATTTTATTGGTGGTTATATTTTTTTGTATTAAAAATATCATTTGTCTTCTTTAATTAACTCCTTAAATTGTTTGCCATAAAACTATTGGTCAAGTAAATTGAAACGGAGGAAGTATATATTAGTTATCATTTATACCAAACCTGGTTAACATGATATTGTGGTTGTCCAGTGAAGACCACATTCATATTTACTACCAATTAAGAAGATAACAAGATATTGATGAATTATAAATCAGTAATTGGTAATGTTCAAAAGAAATTAATGTCATATGTTTTTAATAATTACAATTTTATAGCAGGCAATGTCCTATCTTTTTTGGTAAAACATTTTACACAACACAAGATTTCAAATTCGCTTTCCGTGGTTTTTGGATCAAACAAGGTTTCGAAGGTGCGGTTTCTTTTTCAGATGTTCATGACAAACCCCGATTATCGTAAAACTTAAAAATTGTGATTTCAATTGCATAAAATCATCGTTTTTGCAAACTTTGACTGATATTGTACAATCCAAACCTATTATTTAGGGATTTAAATCGGTGCCCAAATTTGCAACGATCCCAAATTTTTTATATATTAAAATTTCGCATTTGCTTTTTAAATCGAGCCATATTCTAAATCGCTTTCGATACGCGAGTAAATTTAATGGACATAGATCATTTGTTCATGTTTAATCTCATCCATGGATGAAAAAACTTGAAAAACATTGATAAACTATGAAGAACATTGATTAACAATTTTTTTATTTGGATTTTTTTTAATTTAATCGTTTTTTTTATTTGATTGTTTTTTTTATTTATTTAAATATGATGTTAATTAATAAATTTTGAAAATGTAATTAAAATGATTTTTTTATATTCAGTAATTAAAATTTCGGAAAATAAAAAAAGGATTTAAAAAGGAAAATACTAAAATTAAGTTTTGACCAAGGTTAAAAAAAATCAGCCAATGATATTTCAGTATAGTGATGGTCCAAATAAAGGGGACCATAGTAGAATTTTCGTAATTCATAAGGAAAATACAAGGAAAAGAAAAGGGGAATACATAGAGAAAGAGGCGGATTCTAACACTTAAACTCCCATATATGTAAGGAAAGTCATCAAAAGGATTAGAATTAATAGAGAATAAGGACATACTACCTCCGATACACATTATATGCAACTTTGGAGCTCTCACGAAACCTAAGACAAAATTTCATAATAGTTAATTAGTGAATTAAAGAATATGTAATTAAGAGTAGGAGAGAGAATAGCCACTACCAATCCGCCACCCCAACCTGAACCACCACCACCAACATCCGTCACCCCTACCTGAACCACCACCACCAACATCTGCCACCCCAACCCGAACCACCACCACCAACATCAATCACCCCTGAATTGCCACCACCATCAACCATCACCTCTGAAACACCGCCTACACTCACACCTGAACCAACCACTGCCTCCACTCACCTTGAACCACCACAAACCACCCTGAAACCACCTCCACTCACTCTAAACCACCGCAAAACCGCCCGACTCACTCTAAACTACCCCTGAACCAACCCAACTCCACCCCCACTCATCACAAAACGCCGGAAATAATCTCCCACTCACCCCGATCTACCTCGATCACACCCTTACTCACCCCGATCTACCTCGAACCCACCCTTAATCACCCCGGCCCAAAACACCCTAAACACACACCAGTACTCACACGACCAATCATCGTCGAACCACCCCGAAAACCCCCTAAAGCACTCGAAACCTTCCACCACTCAACCCAATCCACTCTAACCTACCCCAAAAACCTCCTAAAACACCCAATTCAAGCCTAGCCAACCCCTAAACCATCAAATCTAAAGAATTGATTAAGAGAAGAAGAAAGAGATAGAGATAGTGCGAGTGCGAGAGCGCTGGAGAAAGATAAAGAGCGCACGAGACGGAGAGAGATTCACCGGAGGCGGAGGCGGAGTCGGAAATCTTGAAGGTGGTGGTGACCGGCGACATTGACGATGGTGGTTGCCGGAGTTGTGAAAGATGAACAAGCATGGGAGTTGAATGATTTTTTTGAGTTTGGGTGATTGTTGATTGGATTTTGTTTAGGTGAAATGAATTGGGTGAGAAAAATTATGTTAATTAAGTTAATAAATTATTTTAATTAATTCTAATTTAGTTATTTAATTGTGTTTATGATATCTTGAGTAAGGGTATTTGAGTAATTTCATTAAAAAAAATTTACTAAAAAAGGAAAGAAGGGGAAAGTTGCATCTAATGTGAAATTCCTTTTTTTGGCAAATGTTGCATATTAGGTGTACCAGAGGTAGTAAATAAGATCTAAACAATTGAGATCAGTTTAGAACAAAACACTAGCAAGTTTATGACCAAATAGCTTTCTTATTGGGTGGTACCGTGAGGAAATCAGTAAATAATCTACGCAGCGTAAAAGAATATATGATCCACACGATTAAGAACATTCCAGCACAAGACAACTGCAAATAACAGCACCATAATAGCTCTAGAGTTTGTTCTTCTTGGGAGGTGTCGCGAGGAAATTAGTAAACCATTTTGCAGACTTCTTTGGGTATCTTTTGAGGTTGTCATAATAATCTGTGTAGTTGAGCCCAAAGCGAACATCATACCCTTCTCCCACTTCCATATTATCCATAAGTGTCCATACAAAGTATCCTCTCACGTCTGCCCCTTGTCTGCACTCAAACATATGCAATAATCTTTAGTCATTGCTTTCGAGTTTATTTTGTACCAATTTAACTCATCAAACTAATACTTTGTATTTATGTTATAAACATTGGAATAGAAAATGTTGCTCACTTGTTAGCCTCACGAATTGCAGTAAGGTGATCTTCGACATGTGAGATTCTCTTGTCATCGAAAAGTGCAGCTTTCAACTCTTCAATTTTTCCTTCCTTGATTGAATTCAGAATAGAACCTGTGATTGTAGGCTTTGCAGGAACACCTGTACACGTTATATATAAACATGTTAGCACCTATCCTCTTTCTCCAATGTGGGACACTCACAAATGGGCTACAATGGGTTTCAACATAATTGAGCAAAGACGGAAAAATTACAAGTCAACTAAACTCACCATTCTCGGTTACATAAAGTTCAGGCTCATCGTATTTTTCTGTAATGTAAAGAAGCAAATTCCTCAGACCGGCAGGGTTTACATAGATACCCTCCTGTCCTTCCGATTGTTCTCCGATTAAAGTTCCATCTGCATTCACTGCATTAAGAGTAACACGATAATGACTTCAATACTAGAAACCATGTTTGATGTACAAAGAGCTTAGAGGCAGATATATATAGCAAATGTTTAAGCACCTAATTCAGAAGTGTACTCGACACTGATCGTCCCTTTCATTAAATCTACTTTGGTAGTTTGCTTGCCAAATCTCGCTGTGTAATAATTGATACCAATGAAGTCGCATGACTCTTGTAACATCGTCCTTTGCTCGCTGGTAAATTCAGGGAGTTCTCTTATAGACTCCTTCATAGACTCTGGATAATCGCCATTAACAAATGGGTCCATGTACCTTAATCCATTATTTAACAAGAATTTACATTAGGGACTGTTATTACTTTTAATAATAATAATAATAATAATTGAGTTAATTTTATGTTTGATATTTTTGTAATGATTTTATCGCTTATAACTTTTTTTATCCCTCAAAAAATCTTTTAACAATTAATAAAATTTAGTAAATTTTGGAACCTATGTCAAGCTATCATTAAAAACATTCCTCCCAATCCTTCCAAAAAAAAACATTCCTCCAAAATAATGTATGATGTCAACTTTAAGTCTTTTTTAAAAGATTATTCTACTTAGCTTATTTTTTGAAAGTATATTGTACAATTTTTTTTTAGAACTAAATTAATTCATTAATTAAAACTAATACAAAATAGCTTTATTTAGAATAACATGCATCTCATTAATGTAATATAATGTGTATTTGGAATATTTAAAAAAAAAAAAAAAAAAAAAACTTACTATAAATAGAAAAGGCGGAATGTAATTTTGGAATACCCAAAAAAGAAAAAAGGAATGTAATTTAGGGACGGAGGGAGTACTAATTTTAACTATTTTCAATACAACAAACTTATCTAAAATAACTTTATGGAAATTTTGTCAAAAACTACCCATTAAAACGGCGTGTTTTGAAAACAAAAACCTTTAATTTTTTTTTAAAAAAAAACTACCACAAAGTTGTAATCTTGTAAAAAGTTTAAGTAGCATTATCAGTCTAATAATTTCAACTAGAATATTAGGGCATGTAAGTTCCACTTTTATATTTGCTTCATAAAATCACCATCTAAATTGACTAAATTACTACTTATAAAGGTAAAAAGTGAGACTCAAATGACGGAGGTTATAGCCAAAATTGTTAGAGTGATAATGCTACATAATTTTTCTAAAAATTTGTGGTAGTTCTTTTGAATTTTTTTTTTTAATTGGTAATTATTTTCAAAACACGTATCTTAATTGGTAGTTGTTGACAAAATTTCTTAATTTTATTTTCTTTTCAATTGTAGTTTAAAAATATTTTGCCTTATTATTTCATCGTTCTTATATGCATTATATTTGTTTATTCCAAAAACTTGCCTGATTTTTATATTATATTATAAATTAATAATGTGAAAAAAAATTATTACTATCCTACATGCACAAATCTTGTTTTCTACTCCATAGCAAATATGACCTTTCTTTTACAATAATTTTGGTATAATTCTGACCTTCAATTATTGTATTAATACAATTGGCATACCGCATACCTTCTACCACGAAAAAGTAGTGTTAATTTTGCATTTAATTACTCATTTGTGGATTAATTAATTTGATTTCTTATTTGACGTGAGCCTTTTGCTTTGCATACATTCACCCATATATATATGATTATGTGGTATATGGTTACGAGCTTAATTCTAGTACCTTCTCATAAACACGTTATTATATGGATAAGTTTATTCGTTAGGGTGTTTTATATGTAACTTACCAACCCAACATGAAGTCCAATTGTTTCTGGGCAGCAACCACATCTGTAGGGTTGGTTGAGTGAGGTTCATACCATTTACATGGCAGTGAAATTCCAATTTTGCCTTTTTGCGTTTGCTACATATTACAACAAGAAAAATAAATAATATTAGCTGGAGATGTACGAAGTGTATCATATTCCTTCCGTTTCAATATAATAGTCTCATATGGAATCAATCACATAAAATAAGAAAAAAAAATACTTGAAATCTAACATTAAAGTACAAAAGTTGTTCATAATGAATTTTACCTTATTTATATATTTTGATTTTTTTTTTTTTTTTGAAAAGTATTAGCCATAATTGCATGATTCAAGGGTGGGATTTCCTTACTTAGAGCCATGAAACCAATCTACAATTAATTAATTTTAGTTTTTACCAATTAGAATTTAATAGGTATAAAATTAGAAATAAAAATAAGTTTAAAATAAAATATATTTAATACGGATAGATTTTTTTGAAACGCCTAAAATAATATGAGTCTAACATAATGAAACGGAGGGAGTATCAAATTTATAACTTTTTTTTTTCTTCAAGGAAAGGCGCAACATGTGAAGAAGCAAAGTAAAATTTACAAGTACCTGGTAGTTTTCATGGTAGATTTGAGCAGCAGCAGCATGAGCTAAGATAATATTGTGAGTGGCGACAAATGGGCCAAGATCACTCTTACCATCATTAGGCAAACCCTGTTTGTAACCAAATGACCCAAACACATAGGGTTCATTAATTGTTGACCAGAACTTTACTCGGTCACCAAAGTTGGCAAAACAAATATCAGCATACTTCTTAAAGTCCTCTCTGTTCAAAAAAAAAATGACATAGCAGTCTAATGGTAAATATGATTGACAGGTTAAAAATGAAGGATTATTAGTTTATTACTACCTCCATTAACTTTTAATTGCAACTTTGGAATATTTATATCTTATAAATAATACTCTTAAGTTGCAGTTAAAAGTTAACAAAGGTCGTACATATTTCAACTTTAAATTAATTAGTTGTCATGTTGATAGTATAATTTAAATTTTAAACATGTGGCATGACAATTAGTGAAGATATAGTAATGTGGCATTGTGGCAAACACACCATTAGTGTTTGTTTTAATCTGATCAATATATATTGGAAATTTGGAACGATAGCTTACACTATTTGACTGTTCATGAAGCCATGATACTTGTCTTGAAGAGCAACAGGAAGATCGAAGTGGAATAATGTGATGACGGGCTCAATTCCTGTGAATGTTGTTAAAGAGAATTTGTAAAGTTAGATAGTCCGTATTTCATAATGAATATTGATTTTAGTTCGTAGCATTAGACACATTACCAAAGAGGTTGGTCGAGATATCAATTTTCGACAAATAAATCAAAGGACAAAAATGATCGTAAATAAAAGGATATATAGCTGATCTTAATCTTGTAAATACCTTCTGCTATCAAAGCATCAATGAATTTGTTGTAGAAATCAATTCCTTCTTGATTGATTGGACCATCTTCTTGAGAACCCTCTAAATAAAATTAAACATAACTTATGAATAATTTCAAATAATATATGGTCATACACTTTACATGCTCTAGGGCTTGTTTTCATTGACTGAACTTAGATGAACTGAACTCAACTAAACTAAACTGAGCTGAGCCGAGCTGAACTGAACCGAACTGAACTGAATATTTTATAAGAGAAGGAAATTAGGAGTTGAATTGAACTGAACTGAATTGAACTGAGCTGAACTAAACTGAACTTCAACGTATGAGAACAGCGTATAGCAACGAATATTGCTTGATTCAACACAACATTTTCTTTAAACTAAAATGTGCAGCTTTATACAAAAAAGAAAGTTACCAACAATCCAAAAAGGTGAGGAGGAAAATTACCAGGGAGTATCCTAGGCCAAGCGATGGAAAAACGATAAGAATTCATTCCCATGGCTTTCAATAGCTTTATATCTTCCTGCAATGTACAAATAAATATGATAGAAGGTCAAGATACATATACGAGTGTAAATTATCGTTAATACCCAAAAAAAAAAAAGAAAAAAAAAACTATTGGTAAATTAGGTTTATAATAATATTAGTGTAAATCGAACAATTTTAGGAAAATTTTCAGGCAATTTAAGGCAACTTTTAATCTTTTTGAAAATAAATTAAATGGAAACTATTGTATACACTAGGTTTACAATAATATATTAGTGTAAATGGAACAGTTTCAAGATAATTTTTAGCCAATTTGAGGTATCTTTTAGTCTTTTTCAGGTTACTTAAACAATATATACATGATTTTATTATAAATAGGCAATGAGATAAAAGGAAATGGCTAAAAAAAACTTTCAGGGACGTTATGGGTTAAGATGAGATGGTTAAAAGAATAAATATTATATTAAAAAATAATAATTACACCGATTAGCGTGTGATTTTGACATGTATTCCAAAATTAATACTAAGTGTTATTTTAGAATTTTTTTTTTTGTCTAAAAATTGTTAGCTAATGCCTTAGGGTGCTTGTTAGTAAGATCCTAATTGAAATATGGGTGAACATTATTCTTGTACTTTGATTAACATTCTGATTAGGTTGTTACTCTCTCCATCCCTTAATTAGATGGTTACTTCTCTTTATTATGAGAGTAATAAATGCTAGAATTCTATATCTATCTATACTTTAGTATTTAAAAACACAAACCACAAATTTTTCATATGAAACATGGGATCATAAGTCACTCATTGCCCCATATTCCACATGTCACCCTTAATAATATTTGTGTTTAAGTCTTTTTGCATTCTCCAACTTGCAAATTCAAGGGAAAAATAATAAAGTGTTTCATTTCCATCATAATAAAATAAAGTTCAATTAATTAGTACACATTACATAAACATATGCATTATAATAAAAAATTTCTTTTCATCTCATATACTTTAAATATAATTTAAACTAATATGTCATTTCATCTCTCACAATCTAAATATATATATATATATATATATATATATATATATATATATATATATATATAACTAAACTCCTTCATCTTCTTTCACAGTTCTACCATCACTCTTTTTTCCTATATATATATATATATATATATATATATATATATATATATATATATATATATATATATATATATATATATATATATATATATATATAAACTCCTTCATCTTCTTTCACAGTTTTACCATCACTCTTTTTTTCTTTTAAGTTTTAGAAATGAAACAATACTTCGTATAAAAGCATACCTATATATGAAAATAATTAACCCAAGTAACAACCCGTGCATTGAACGGGCCAAAAAACTAGTAGCCATCTAATAAAGGAACGAAAGGAGTATTACGTATTCAAGTGTTTGTATATTGAAAGGTGTTTTTAAATACACAATTCATGATTGATTAATTAAATGTGTGTACTTGATTTCTATATAATTTTTTGGGCCCAGCGTATAACCCAAGAGAAAACATTAATGTCATAATTCAGATTGATCAAATATTTATTTTGAATAATAATATCTAAAATAACAATAGCTCACTAGTTAACTCTTTAAATTTTTACTTTGAGGATGGCCAAGGGTTCAAATCTTATAAATCTTTACTTTTTAAGCAAATGAAATAAAACTATCAATTATTTGAGAAGAGCATTATGTGATACGTAAACTTTTAATGAGTTAAGATAACAAATTGGATTATATATGTCTTTTGGTTGAGTTAGTCCTCTAGCAATAATATTAACAAATTTAATATATAGTATTCAGTTATTAAGTACAGAAATTGATTATAATTATCACATAATCCGTAGTAAAATAAAAAAAATAATAATTAATTTGCATTAAATGCTTTATAAGTCAAAATTGTCAATTAAAAAAGGAAAAATTGTGGGGAATAATCCCACATTTGTGGCGTCCGTGGAAAATAATCCCACCTTTGGGATATTTTTAAATAATCCAACTTTTACCCCTTATATGCTCCTAATGTTCCCATGTGACCAGTTACCGCTAAAAAGGTCAGCTGTTTTTTTTTTGGTTTAAAATACACGTGTTACTATATAATTTGTCTAAAATTATAAACTACAAAAATGAATTTAAGAAGGGGGGGGGGGGGGAAGGGAGTTAGCCAGCCTCCTCCGCCACCTCCACCAACCCCAGCCACCGCAATTGATCTCCGAATTGTAGCAACCATCATATCAAAGCTCGCGATGTCGTCATCGCTATTGTGGGTGGTCTGGGCGGCCGAAATCGAGGCAAGGGAGGTTGATGGAAGCTGAACGACTATTGGTAGTGGTAGCCAAAATCGAGGCAAAACAACTGTACGTGAATGGTCTAGGTAGCGTAAATCAAGGCAAGGGGAAGGGGCTGGGATAGGGATGAAGGCTAGAGTTGGGGATCTGGGTGACCAAAGCCACGGGGTAAGGGTGGAAGGACCAAAATCGAGGGATAAGGGTTGGTTATACTAGGTTTTCGTGGCGGTGGGGGAGGTTGGTGGTTCGAGGGGGTGTCGGCGGTGCTACGAGAGAAATAGTGGGTAGTCGGCGGCGCTGCAGGAGAAAGTCTAGGTGGTCTGTGACGCTGCTGGATCAGACAGGGAAGTCCGGCAGCTGGGTCGACGAGAACGAGCGGCGAGTAGGGTGGTTTCGGCTAGTGGGGGCTTTTAAATTAATTTTTTTCTATGTTTTGTTAAAAAATAAAAATTAAAGTTGTGTGTTTTTTTTTTACCAATTACAAGTCGGTACGTGTTAGATGACTTGTTACAACAGGTTAGTTGACATGTTGGGACCATTGGGAGCGGATTGGGGATAAAGGTCAAATTATTTAAAAATACGGAAATTTCACCAAATGCCCCTGAGTTATTTTTTAATTCACCAAATACTCATGTAAATTTTCAAATTCACGTATGCACTTGAGTCTCACAAAAATGTCACCAAATGTCCTTAATGACTAACGAGGTTAATTCCGTTAGTCATTAAGGTTAATTAGGCCATGTGGCATGCTGCAATTAGTTCTCTTTTACTTAGTTCATCAATTAATTTAATTAATTACTTAATTAATATATAAAAAAAATTTAAAAAAATAAATAAACCCACCACCAGCCACCCCCCTCCCTTACCAACCCCCTGCCAGCGGCCCACCACCAGCCACCACCACCACCCCAGATCCCAGCCCTTCCCCCGCGCCGGTGGTCCATAATCGTCGGCGAGGCCAGCCCCCACCCTCCGACACCCCCTCCCCTACCCCCAGCCCCTTCTCCGTCCGTTTCCCCTCCCCCTAAACCCCTCCCCCACCTCGAAAAAACCCCCCTCCTTCACGATCGGCGTCCAAACCCCCTCCCCGGCGCCGGCGAACCTTTTTCGCCCCACCCCCTTTCCCCACTAAACCACCACCCAAAAAACAGAAAAACCCCCAAATCGAAAAAAACCCCAAATCGAAATCTAGGGTTTCGATTTAGGGGGTTTTCGGTTTTTTTGGGTGGTGGTTTAGGGGGGAAAGGGGGTGGGGATGGTGGGGGGTGGGGCGAAAGGTTCGCCGGTGCCGGGGAGGGGGTTTGGACGCCGGCCCATGAAGGAGGGGGGGTTTTCGAGGTGGGGGAGGGATTTAAGGGGAGGGGAAACGGAGGGAGAAGGGGCTGGGATCTGGCGTGGTGGCGGTGGTGGGCCGTTGGCAGGGGTGGGGTGGGTCTTTGGTGGTGGGGATTTTTTAAAAAAAAAATTAATTTTTTTAATTTTTTAAAGTATTTTTTTAATAATTAATTAACTAATATTACAACAACCAATTAGAGGTTGCCACATGGCATGTTAGTCATTAAGGGCATTTGGTGACATTTTTCTTAAACTCAGGAGTATTTGGTGAATTTATAAGTTTTGATGGGTATTTGGTGAATAAAAAAATAATTCTGGGGCATTTGGTGAAATTCCGTTAAAAATATCCCATAGGTGTGATTATTTTCCGCGGACGCCCTAAAGATGTGATTATTCCCGACAATTTTTCCATTAAAAAAAGGGAGAGTATATCATATGAGTATTAACCTCATTATCCGTAAATTTATTTTCTTATATTTTTTATATAAAGGTCTAATGCATTAAGCCATTAGTAAATTAATGTTTTTGGTATAGGTATAAATTAACTTAAATTGAAAGTTTTTTGGGAAATTCTCTCTGGTAATCACAAACTTTTTTTTTTTTTTTCTCAGTGGTAAAGCCTAAAACTTTTGATTATCAAAGGTAATCACATATTAATATTATTAAGCTAATGGTAACTTAAGGTAAATAATTTGTTAAAATCTTTACCATGGTTTAGCTATTAGACAGTAAAAAGACATAAATACCCTTATGTCTTTCCTCCTCCATCTTCTTCCTTACGCTTTCCTCCTCCATCTTCTTCCATTAGAGCCACCACCACCATTGTTAAACTGCTGTTAAGGTCGGAAAGGGAGTGCAACGGCAGCACCAAAAGCGGCGGCACCACCACCTCTCCCTCTTCCCTCTCCCCAATAACACCCCAGCGCATAACCACCTCGCGCATCGATACCAACCCGATCCTACCCATTTCCCCCTCCTCGAAAACCACCCTAACCACCACCTCCACACGTATCAAACTTGTGAAACCCAGCTCCGACCACTAATTCAACCCAAATCAACATATAAAACCAATTCGACTCCAAAAATTAACAAATTCGACCCCCAAAATCAACAATTTTGACCCCAAAATCGACAAATTTGACTCCAAAAATCAGCAAATTCGACCCCAAATCAAAAAATTCGACCCCAAAACCAACAAATTCGACCCCAAAAATTAGCATTTTCGATAAATTCGACCCCCTAAAATCAACGAATTTGACCCCAAAATCACCAAAAAAACCTAGAAATTTCAACCCAAATTTGGGAAACGAGAAGGAATCGGGGAAGGGAGGAGGGTGGTTGATTTCGGCTAGGGAGGATGGCTGATTTCGGCGTTCCGACAAGCGGTTATAATTTGGTGGTTATGAAAGAAGAGAGAGGGTGGGTCGGGAACAAGGGAGGGGTGCTCGTTTTGGTATTGGGGTGTTGGTGGTGAGGGTCTCCAGCGGGGTAGAGGGTTGAGACGCCGTCCGCCGTACCGAGCTGAGCTCCGGCGAGGAAAAGAGGGCTGGTGGTTGGGGAGGGTTTATATTACTTGTTTTTATTTTTAAAAAAAATAATTTGAAGGGTATAAATGTAAATCTATTATTACTTAACCTAAGATTAACCCTGGTTAATTTTTTAATGATGTTTTAATATCATTAATGTTACCATTAGCTTAGTTTTATTAATTCGTGATTACCATTGATAATAAAAAGTTTCAAGCTTTACCACTTAGAAAAAAAAAAGTTTGTGATTACCAGAGAGAATTTTCCAAGTTTTATTAAATTATTTTATTTTTTCTTTTTGGCAAATTAAAATTGAAAATGCACACAATTGATTTAACATTATTCATTACATACATGGAACAAAATTTAAGCTAGTATAATAAATTTACCAAGTACATATTGTAAGAATCTACTCCTTTGCCTCCTTTGTCTGCCTGAATCATGGAGTCCCACGTGCTTTTTCCTCTTCCACCTTCAGTGCCTGGTCCCTCGGTCTATTACGCAAAAAATATAAACAGTAAATAAAAAAAATAAAAAATAAAAAAAAAATTCCTTACATTCTAAAGGATAATAATCTTATTAAAAAATTAAATAAAAACTTAAAATTAAGGGTTTGTTTAGCAATTTTTTTTTCCCAGTTTTCTAAAACAATAAACCAAAAACAAGAAGTAAGAAAATTGTGTTTTCAATTTTTTGTTGCTAGTTTTCAAAATTACTATAAGTTTAATAAAGTTGACTAACTTTTTTTATTCCCTCCGTCCCTTATTTACATGCCAAATTCTCTTTATTATGTGAGTAATAAATATTAGAAATAAGCATGAAAATAAGGAGAAGAGTGAGTATTTATTATATAACATATATAATATGATTTAAAAAAATATATATAAACCACAATGATGCCAAACAAAACCCAAGTGTTCGTCTTTCGTCAGTTCAAGGAAAAAAAAATTAAATTAAAATTACGGTATTAGTCACTTCAAAGATTGCTTGAAGAGTTGAAGCTAACAAGAAACAACTTGTTCAACTTGCTCTTAAGATAATAAAAATGTGGTTTTCAAAAAAAAAAAAAAAGATAATAAAAATGTACAATTAAATATTTCGTTAATTGCAGAAAACATTCTAACATTTAATTGAATAAAATATCAAATTATTCCTCCAATTTTATATAACTAGGGTAGAGGATTTATTTTGATTTGACTTTATGTCATAAATTTAATTGCTGGCAATATTATTTAAGGAAAATGTGTAAATAAATTTATAGGGACATATTTAAGTATACAATTGTTAAAAGTTTTTTTTAAAAAAACAAATATTAATGAGGGCACATAAATAAAGATGGTTTAATTGTCCAAACATTATTCATAAGAGTTATCTTAAATATTTTTTAAAAAAATATATATATCTATCACGATTTATATTTTCACCAATTTCTGTTATTTCTAGAATTGATTGTGTTCCGTCAAAATAAATAAATAAAAAATTAAAAATTGATTGTGACACACAATTTTTTTTTTTTTGACGGGGATTGTGACTCACATTTTAAGGGAAGCAATTAACAAAGGTAAATGATCGACGTTACTCTATGCATAAATTATTTAAGCCAAAAGCTAACAAGCAGTACCAGCTCCCTCGAAACGTAGATAATAAGAAAACTCAAGGTCGAAACATTAATGTAAAATAGAAATTAATAACAGTGGTCAAAGCATGATTTGATATGCAATTTCAAACTTATACCAGTAATATTTAAGTAATATTCCCTTCGTTTTATAATGTTAGTCCTATTTACTATTTTGTAAGTTTCAAAAATATCTTCCCATATTTAATATATTTTAATTTAACTTAATTTTTTTTTCTTGAATTAATTGGTTGTGGATTGATGACGTGACTCTAAGTAAGGAATTCTCTACTTTAAATTATACAATTATGGCTTATGTTTTCTAAAAAAAATCAAAAAACTTAAATAAGGTAAACTATTATGAATTATATTTTGTACTTTAATGTTAGATTCCAAATATTCTTTTTTTTTTTTATTTTATGTAGTTGATTCCATTTGAGAATAACAATATGAAACGAATGGAGCATATTTTTTAGTTATCTAACATCACAAGAGTCAAACCCTATTATTTAAACTCTAAGTGGGAAGGGTAAGATGTTAGGTAAAATTTGACTAGTTTATCGGTTTATATTTTCTATTTGAATTCCACAAATTGTATCACTTGAGAGATGAGAGAATGTTGTAAATAAAAATTGAAAAAAAAAAGAAAAAAATAGTACTTCTTGTGTTTTTTATTGTTAGTGTCATATTGTTTCGTGTGTTTCCCCTCAAAAAAAGTATCATTTACGTACATCAATGCAAATAATCTTATATTACAAATACCTTTAATATCATACTAACAAAATTTTTTAAAATTAGAAATTAATAATATACTCATTGAAATAAATAAGTCTAGGTCTCATATGATTATGTTTGTTCTTATATTTAGAGAGAAATTTAGAGGATCCCCTCTAATTTTTAAAAGTCAAAATATTTTAAATGGTACTAACAAATAAGACGGAGGGAGTATCAAAATGTGAAATGAGGTTAATTTGACTTTAGGAATATATTATATACAACTAGACAAGTATAAATTAAGTTTTGCAATATAATAATAAGGCCGAGTGAGAAAAAGACCTGAAGAGCCGAGGTGGAGGCGCCAAATTTGAAGTAAGAAGGAAAGTCACATCGTTTTAAGTCTGTAGGTGGGTTGAGGGACGCAGGTTCAAAACCATCAACCAAAACAACATTTGATGGTTCCAACTTCTTACTAATTACAGTGAGAGAAGAAGGTGAGGCCACCTTATAGTGTGACCCTCTATTAGCAAGCACATTTATTTGATTGGTGTAATACTTGTTAGCCCCTAATACTGTGGGAAACTTAGTATGCCTTTGGTAATTGGATGGTGCAGCGCACGTTGATGCAACTGAATAAGAAAGGGCCATTTTGTTTAGTGTTTTGTGTAAAGAAAATGGGTGTGTGTATGTGTTTAGGAGATTCAGAAAGGTTTCTATTTATAGCCAAATTTGGTCAATTAAAATAGTAGGATGAGTTGTTAACTTGTCATAGGGATATGATCTGATTGCAATCACGTGTTTTCATGTTCATTTGGTTAATACGATACATATTTATTAATTATTGATCTTAGCTACATTTGTGGAATTGTGGGTCGATTATGTATTTTCTTGACTTCTTTATACTAGTAATGAAAATTGCGAGGAATTCTAAGTGGAGGTTTGTCAAATGGAGTACAAGGGGGTAAATAAGATATTTATACAACTTTTGCAAACTGTACCTAATCATTCCGTTTTCACTTTGGTATTTTTATGATTTTATATTACGAGCAAATGACAATAATAAAACTAATAGTGACACGATAAATATTATCAATATAATATTCAAACAAATATTGATAATTTGGTGATTAGCGTTTAATTAACACAAAATCAAACTAATAGTGACACGATAAATATTATCAATACAATATTCAAACAAATATTGATAATTTGGTGATTAGCGTTTAATCAACACAAAATCACTTTTACGGTACTCCCTCCGTCTCCAAAAGTTCGACCCTTTTGACCTAATTTTAGTCCCAAAATGATCGATCCATTTGCATTAAAATACTCACCAATTTACGGAAATATTTGTGTAAAATTATTTATACTTCTCCAATTTACGACAATATTTGTGTAAAACTTACTTCCTCGTATAATATTTTGTTTTTTCATGTACTTTTAATACTTTATCTCTCTATTTTTTACAAACACTACTAGAAATAGGCTGGTATCCGACGGACACGAAATTCGGTCGGAAACATCGGAAATTCCGATGGATTTTTACTCCGTCGGTTATTTCGGACGAATTTTAACAATCCAAGTCAGAAATTTACGAAAGAATATAAATCCGTCGGGAAAATGGGCTTTTCAATTCGACGGAATTTTCCGTTGGAAAATTAATTTTCCAACAGAATAAAAATAATATTCCTAGTTTTTGCCCCCATTTGACTCTGCCGATCTTCAACACACGTATTAAAATGTCTATAGCTTTATTTTCATACACGTAAAAATTATAAAGACGTGATATTAATAAAATATACCATGAGACGAATCTAACAAGACTACTCATGACTATATTATCTTTTATAGATTAACAATAATTTATGGTCAAGTTTTCATAATTTGACCCAAAACATGACAATAGGGAAAAAATAAAGGGACGGAGGGAGAATGTCCAACTATGTAATTAATTAATGTTTACTAATATACTGCTATATATCACAAAAATAAATACAGTCAACTGAGAGTGAATGGATATAATAAAAGTCAAGATGTTTCAAGTATAAACAAATATGGGTACTGTAGACACCCATTTGTGTCTCCCCAAAACCAAACCCAGTGATGAGTGCCTTTCATGTCGAGTCATAATCGAATGAAGTGAAAGTGTGGAAAGTTTAGTGTTGCGGATAGTTTTAATTTCTTTTCTCTTGTCTCTGTTTTTGAAAACCTATTTTAAGAAAACAGTCAATCCAGTTTGGTTGGTCCATGATATGGGTCCAAGAGTAGTGTAGTTGGATAGGGCTTAAAAGGACCTTTCCAACGATATATTATAAGCCCAATTCCGATGAATATTGAGAAAGTTATGGCCAAATTACTAAACTGGGCCCGGTTTGAGCCTTATATGGGGCCCAATGATTTAGAGGATGGCCTAATATGGATTTATCATTCGTAATACAATTAGGAATGGTTTTAGTCTCCTAGATTCTTCTAGAAGGTTCTTTTCATTCTTAATTCAATTAGCATTGATAAATTGACTTTTGTTGACTTTTCAGAGTTTTAATTAGAATCAAAGAGCATTTTTAAGGAAAAATACGATTTTATCCTCCAGTATGGCAATTTTTATCTGATTTTAAGAAAACGCGTGAATTTCCAAATCAGCGCCAAACGCCAGCTGTAGCGCCCACTACAAAAAAAATTCAATATAGCATCAACTAAAATTTGTAGCTATTCACCAAAAATCTGTTGCCAACTCTATTTAGTAACGGGTTGGAAACAAAAATTTGTTGTTGCTAAAAGGCTTGTTGCCATGGGATTTCGAAAACCAGTTGCAAAGCAATTTTGTTGCAATATTGCATCAATTTAAATATAGTTTCCATGATTGTTGCTATTTTTGGTGCATTCGTTGCCAACTTTGGCAACAAATTACCATTTGTTGTTGCTAAAATTAGCAACAAATTATTAATGTTAGTTCCTAAAATAGCAACAAATTATTAATGTTGGTTCTTAAAAATAGCAACAAATTATTAAATTTGGTTCATAAAAATAGCTACAAATCATTAATATTGGTTGCTATCAACACTACGTGACAAAAACCCAATCCCTATTAGCAATTCGGTTCAACCCGACCTCGGCCTTTACCAATCTGAAATCTCACTCAGGTTAGGTCAACTCGGCTCGACTTTGCATGTAAGGCTCTTTGAATCCCCAGTCTCAAGAATCGCATTTGGTAGGAGTCGAACTTGCAACCTCAAAGTCAGATGGTGAATCTATTACCAACTATACCAAATACTATTTGTTTACTTCTATGCATATAATTTATAATAAGTGAACAAAATATTAGAGACGAAATTGAAAAATTTATCTCCAAATTAGGGACAAAATAAAAAATCCGTCTCTAAATTATAGACGAAATTGAAATTCGTCTCTATTTGATTTCATTTTAGCAACAAATAATTTTATAAATTACAGCAAAAAGTGGCTTACATATAAATTAACAACAATATGTAACACAACTCGTTTCCAATGGCAACAAACAAAATAATGCGTTATCAATTAGCAACAATAATTTAGAAGACTTGTTTCTAATGGAAACAATTCAAAAATTCATTGTATTTGTTTGTTTCTAAATCAATACAAATAAAATATTTGTTGTCATAGTTTGTTACTATTTGGCAACAAGAGAAAAATATGATGTCATCTAGTAACAACTAGTAAGACAATTTATTTTAAAAAGAAACAAATCAAAAATATGTAGCCATTGTTTATTAAAAACTAAAGCATAAAATGTCGCTTTTAATTAGGCAATGAAAAAATTTAGATTCGTTGCTATATAGCAACATTTTGAAAATCTGTTGCCAAACTTAGTTGCTAAAAAGCTTTTATTTTTGTAGTGGTCTGACGCTATGCTTGGCGCCTGGCGCTAGCGTTAGCGCCTGGCGCTAATGTTGGCGTCTGGCGCCAATGGCCGACGTTGGCGCTAATCAATTTTTATCCGCGTCAAAACTCTGTTTTGGTTTTTTATCTTTTTAGCTGATTTTCTCTATAAATAGCGTCCTAAAACTCCGTTTTCATTCACCTGCAATCATCAATTCTTATTCTTTCCAATTCTCACTAACTCTCATCAAGAATTTCTTGATTTTCTCTCTCTTTCTAAGACTATCCTTTTACAAACACAATTCCTCATACATTAGCACTTGACACACCTAGCCAAGTTCGAAGTTGCCTTCGCCCTAGACGTGAAAGGTTTTAATTTCTGAGGGTTTGGTCCCAAATATCTCTTTCAATTATTTAATTTAATTATTTTTAATTATTATTTTCCTTGAAGTTACTAACGTGTGTATTTTGTTATTAGAAAGATATACGAGGCATCCAAGTAAGTTCTTTAATTGCTTTATTGATATTATGATATAGAAATCATGTTTATTAGGTTGTTATTTTGATTTCTAGTATCATGTTAGGATGCTTGATGTTTTGAATGACAACAATGATTCCTAGTGTTATGTTTAGGGAAAAGGTTATAATATCAAATATGCTTATTATGATTCCTGCGATGCTTCCTATTCTTTTCCTAATAGCATGCTAGTATCATGTTAGGGGTAAAGTTTTGATTTTTATTGTTTAGTGACATGCTAGGGTTTGTTATTAATCTTGTTAGTATCATGCCTAGGATCTTGCTATTATTATGCTTTAACATTATTATGATTATTTTTATGATTTATGAATATAATTGTTATAATTATTATTATTATTATTATTATTATTATTATGATTATGATTTTTATTTATTAATTGTGATGATTATTATTATGTTGCTTGATATTTATTGTTATTGCTTGATCACGCCTTTTATGCATGTTTAAAGGGATTTTGTACTTGTAATCACGCTTAATAAGATAATTAATAATCTTGTTTAGGGTTAATTATGATTATAATTCAAGTGATCGTCAATAATAGTTTATTTGTGCATTATATTCAACCAACATAGATAAACAGGTTTAGGGTTAATCCTATTGATTGCATGTTAATCAGAAAGCGCACATGAATACGATCAGAATAAAGTAGAGGCCTATTATTAGGGCAGGTTCAATCTCTTTTAGGTTGGATTTGTACCTTCATCCCCGAACCCTTATTTGGTTCTAGAGCTTATGGAGTTGACGATCTCTTGGATCGTTAAGGGGTGTAACCTTCACCCTGTGAACAGTTTACAAGTTCCTAAAAAAACTTGTTGGCGACTATTTTGCTCTATATTTTTTCCCTTTAGACGCCACCATCCTTTAGTGTATGATCACAGTGGGGTTCAAGCTAGGGGATTAACGCTTGAAATATTCCCTACAGGTACAAAATTTTCTTCAAAAAATTATACAAAGCTCAATTTCAGAATAAAAAAACTCATCTATTTAAAGTGACATTTTCTTTTCAAAGTAATTGACCCCTAAATGATTGAAAGAGATTGGATTTGAACTTAAAAAATTGAATTTAATTTCTCTTTGGTAACACCATACTTTTTACTTTTCTCAGTGGTGAATTACAAAAATTTTTATTATCTTTGGTAAATCTAAGTTTTGATTACCAAAGATAATACTTATTTTAATTTAAACTCATTAACCATAGTTAGTTTTTATATTTTTTTAAATAATTAAATAATTTTTATTTTTTTAAAAAAAAACCCAACCCCACCCAACGGTGCCCTAGCCAATCCCAGCCCCTGCCTCCGCCAGC